GTGGTTAAAAAAAAATACATATGGTTCAGAATGGATTAACCTTATTTACCTTGAACCTTATGGGGAAATTTGATTCGGTTCGCTACTAATTTGGTTCATGAACAGAATCGTGGAACAAATTAACTTTGTGAACTGAGGTACTGTGATGGAATGGAATTATGAAGGCCACACTCAGGGAGGGAAACATCCTTTTTCGTCTCCTGAGGGGCGAGGAAGAGATAAGAGGATGAGACTGGCACCTCCCTAAGGAATTCACTCTGTTTTTACTGGCTGACTGTGGGAACTAAGTTTCAGTCTGGGAAAAATCTTGCTAGAGGTCGTAGCTAATAAACACTGCTGAACTGAATCTGCATGGTCTCCTGGAGTTCCTTGGGCTAGGCCTGACAGGTACCACTGTATATGCTTTCCAGTCCTATATCAACAGACCTAGATATAACAGTTACAATTCTGAATAGATATCTATAGGATTGTATCATAAGTCTTCCTCTGAAATCTGAAATACTTATCATGTACTTCTATGCGTGATTCCTTGTAAATAAGCTAAAAAAACTTCAGTTGTATTTCTTTAAAATATGTGGGAGTAAGTGGATATTGTTCCCAAGTAAGTGAGCCCAGGTCTTTTTTTTTTTAATTACCCAATTGTTTCATAACTGTGGTACTAGAAAACTTATTGTGTCCAATAGTCATTACAACTCCTTATAATCCAATCATGAAATTCCACTTTTCACACTGATAAATAAAACAACTTTTGATATATTATGTGACTACAAAGCAGCTAAGACTCAGCTTTTGGTGTTATTTTTCCCTAAGGCTACCTTCAAAAAATATTTGCTTTGATTTTTGAAACTGGGGGAAAAACCTACTGAAGTTTAGCTCAAACACACAGTTCTGTCTTTGCAAAAAATATAGATGGACTTTCTTCTCTATAATAGGTCCATACAGAATCATGAAAAACTGTGTCCATTTTTTTTATGTCAGGAGACAAATAAATCTAGTATTAATTTACTAGAAAACTTAGGTATGACAGTTGTGACAGAAAAAGTGAAATAGGATTTATACTGAATGACAAATAAATCATTGAACTAAAATGTAACTACAGCTTTGGCCAAATCCATAAGGATCCTTGTTTTCATTCTTATTGTAAAGGAACAGAAAAAAAAAAACCTGAACGTAGCTTTGTCAGTGGTTATTAATTAAATGTGGCATACACAATCTTTGGGGGAGCTGGTGGACTATGGCCCAGTTAGTATCCTTAGGAATTGTGATAGGCTCCAATATGGGTATGTCCATCTTGTTTACATGTGGACTTTGCCATTTTTTTTCTTCCTTGGGCTTTGTGGGGTGCTTTCAAATGCCTTCCTTCCTTCCTTCCTTCCTTCCTTCCTTCCTTCCTTAAAAAAACACACGTTTAGCTCTGTTAGGACTTATGGCAGAAAAGGTCAAGAAGCCATCCAGCTGATATTTGGCAATCATAGTTATAGGAGGCTCTGGAGGTTGCAAAAATGGGTCAGGGGCTGCATATAATAGTGGGGCTCCAGATTGCTACTCAGACCTCAGTGTCATTCACTGGAAACTATCAGTGTATGTGGAGTATTGTCTTCATGATCCTACCTGAAGGTGTTTGATTATCACTGAAAACTGGGCATGAAACAGAATGGAGGGCTTTTATGTTATTTTCAAAAGCCAGCTATGTTTTAAAATGCAATGCAATTGACTCTTATGAGAGAAGAAAGAACATTCCATAATATTAAATTTGAATTTGTGGATTATTCATGATGGGGTTAGTTTTTGTTTTTGGATTTGTTGTTGTTGTTGTTGTTTTTGCAGGTTGTGGGGTAATGGTGATCAGAACCAAACAAGGAAATGAAGTAATTTGACAGATGACAGTTGGTGCAGGAAATGTCAAAGCATGCTTTGCTCGAGTTTGATCTGTGATTGCCACATACTAGTTTAGGATGAACACACACACGTCTTTAAACCACAGTCCTTGTTGCTTACCACAGGTTCTGTCTGTTGTCCAAATATTTATTGATCTGCAGCTACAGGGAACCTGCTGTTTATGTTTTCTGTTTTTGTTTTTAATGTATAAATGGATTTGACAACTTTTTGAATAAAGATTGTCTTCGAAGAGGTTATTGCAGCAAGTAATATACAATTTAGGGTCATCCTACTTTGATATGAGGACAGGTATCCTCCATATGACTTCAGCTCATAGACTTGTTAGCTCTGGGCAAAGCTTTAACCTCCCCAAAATACATTTTTCTTGGAAACTTTCTATGTATCCCAAAGCAGATTTTTTGTTCTCCATCCTTAAAGGATGAAAAGGCTACTGCCACGTTCTTATCAAGAACCATTCTTCATGATGTAAGACTCATTACAGAACCTTTTAAAGTCTCTCAGTAGCCCCGGGGGTCAAAGGTTTATTTGAACCCCACTCCCATTTTTCAGTACCCTCTGTGCATGTTTCCCTTCAGATGGAAAAAGAAGCTAAACGTGCATATAATCCTACCTGACATCAGACTTTTGTTTTTATATATGATAACTGCAGCTAGACTTTTATATGCTCAAAGATGGAAGAATGGATGGTGAAGTTGATAGAGTAAGCTGAGATGGCAAAATTGACAGCTTTGCTTGGAGAAAAAACATTGATTAACATTAATGCCAATTGGAAGCCCCTTTTGGATTTTTTGCAGGAAACAGAAAAAATGATATATGGATTTGATATTAAATTAATAGATTATGCAAAATATTTACATTAAGATATAGTTTTAGGGTAAGAGGTTATTATACGGTTCATTTGTATCTGCTGTATAAGAAGTTATTCTTTTTGTATCTCTTTTTTCCTTTTTTTCTTCTCTGTTTTCCACCAATTTTGTTTTCTTTCCTTCTTTCTAACTTTCTGCTTTCTACTCTTCTTCTTGATTATTCGTTCTTGTTAGCTTTTATCTTTTTGTTTTTGAAAACTTAATAAAGTCTATTAAAAAAAAGAAATTTTGCATTGCTCTATTCTTCTGTATATGGGATATGGGATCACCCTTTTATATTTTAGCAATTAAAGTATAAAAAAATATTTGTAACAAACTATATTCAAGACTCTGGGCCCTGTAAATTTTTTAATCTTGTCTTTGGCATCAAGTTAAAATGTGAGACAATCCAAAATAATGTTGAAATATCCCATGATCCAGGAAGAAGAGGCCAATTCTAACTTTACATTTACTTACTTACTTACTAGTCGTACGTACCATTCCATTCATTCCCAGACTCTGAATGGTTTGCCTTTGCTATTCTGTAAATAAGATTAAAAATATGCATAGCAACAACATAACATTGCACTTCTTTAATTTGTTGGTTGCTTATAATTTTAATAAAGGTTGAGTTGGAGAATGCTATTTTTCTTCAGAATGTGAAGAGAGAGAGCTGGGTAGTGGTGAAAGTTCTGCTCTAGTTCTACTATTTCATGGTAGGAAAAGCAATAATTATGTGCTTGTTTATCAGTTTCTCTTAGATGCAGTTTGCAGGTCTGCTAACCAATGCTAAAGCCATCACTCCCACATCCTTTACACTCTTTTCTCACTAAAATAATTATGACTGACCAAAGCCAATACTGAAATATTAACTGTCTTCGAGAAGTATTGCTATAATTAGTACTTATTATCTAATTTTTGGCTGACTGCCAGTTATGCAATTCAGCCAATCTGTAAATGCCTAATATAGGTTACTGACACTCTGGAAAGCCCACTTCAATCTTAGCTCCCATCTAATGCCAGAGCAAGGAAAGCAACGATAAGTATCAAGTTGCTTTCTGTTCCATATTGTAAAAATTTCAATGATTTCTTGGCTGTCCTGATATTACCGTAGCAAAAATTAAATTATCTTTTCCCCATACATTCAAGATGTACCATTTCAGGCATTAAGAAGCCTAAAGTTTCATAAAAGTTCTTTTCTTCTTCATTCTTTGCACTCAAGATATTTAATTATAGAACCTCAATTGAGGTACAAGAGAATGATGTTGTGTTCCCTAACCTGGTGTCCACCAAATAATTCCAGGCAGCATGTATAGAATTCTAGAAGAGATGGAGCATCCCAGGAGTGCTGTATGAAGTCTGTGTAATATGATCTTGAAGGGGATACTTGTTAAAACAACAAAGTGAGATCTATGTCTGTGTAACTTTCCTAGGTGGGTTTCTATATTTGAACTTCCCAAAAAGAAGTCATTAGAGATGGATGGCTTTATCAGTATCTACCAGCTCAGATTCATGAGCTTCACGGTTCACCTAGTTATTAATACAGTGGAAGCCTATAGAGCAAATAACAGTGAATGCACAACGTGAGCATCTAATATATTGTGTGCTATGGGACATCTGCATTGGGTATCTATAAATAAGAAGTCAGGAATAATAAGCAATGCTTCAAAATAATCTCTCTTCAAAATCATAAAATCGCTGCCTTGGAGCAATATACAGTATTTCAAAGTGAAACTTCTCTCCTAAATCAGTGATTTCCTGAACAGGAGGTTTATGCAATATTGGAAAATAAAATCTCTCTTCTAAATTGAGAATTTCTAGTCTGACCTGGAGTAAGCAAGAGCTGAATCTCACCTGTCAACCCACCATTGGAACCCTGGACCACATGATGGCTTCTGCTCTGTTTTGGGACCAATACTTTTACTGACCACACCTATTCCCACCCTCTAGCATCAGAATGTCAGACAGTATCAAATCAAGGGAGGTTAAGGAAGGGGGAAATTATTGCTACTTATTTCCTACTACTACCATTGGATCTGTCTTCCTGCCATCATCACTACCATGAGCCAGCTAGAATCAACAATTTAAATTTAGAGAAGAGCAGAATCTAAGGTACTTCAAGTTATGCAGGCTGCAGACTTAAGAAATGAAAGGGAAGCATACCTGGAGAAGAAAATCAATGAATAAACACCCTAATTTTTAGGCTTTAACTGTAAGCAGTTATGGCTGTGTTTTATTTATGCCTGTGCATCCCACTTCATATTAAAAAATAGGTACCTTGAGTTGTCTGTGGAATATCCATGCATGGATATTTATATATACATATGCATCTCCATTTACATAACATCCAAAAATAAACAACAAGGAACAAAATATGTCTGTGAACTCCCAGCTGTTAACTAATATCTGAGTCTTAACTAGTGCTGAAGTGAGCATAAAGAACCACAGAATAACATACCCAATAAAACTTTCAAATGCAAGTCATTTTATAGTTTTTGAGTCCCAGTTCTTGACAAGAACAGCTCACATTTTCTTTTCTCAACAAATCCAGTCTAGACCTTGATGTAAGCTAGTAGCTCATACCAGGGAGGCTAAAGTGCACAGAATGTTCACAAACAGAATTACACATATGAATATGATTAG